CACACACACACACACACACACACACACACGTATTTACGGAGTTAATCGAAATTTCACCATTTCAACGAATTTTCATCTAAGCAAGTAACTGACTTTTCCAGACAATCATACAGAAAAAATGATGAGCCTTCTTTCACAGAAATTCTGTGTATGTGGTCCCAATTATTTCTTTTTTTTCTACCAAAAAAGGATACTAGTATATAACACGGTCGATGCTCTTCCTTGGGTGTGTAATTAAATTTGAGGGTAGGCTGGTAGAGATCCTGATGAGTAAAATAGAATCGGGTATACGAGCGCCTCATGCTTGGTATTGCTGGAGCACAAAAATGTAGCTAATAAAAAAGAGACAAACAAATATAATAATAAAAAAAATTATAAAGACAAGTATGGACCGATATATAAGTAAACTAGCTAACTGTAGAAACATAGAAAGTTTTAATGCTAAAAAAATATTGAAACAAGAAAGACAAAACTAAAAAAAAAACAGAGTTACTTAAAATTTAAAAATTATCCCTACTTTAGCAGATCACTGTAATTATGTACATGATAAAATCGTCACCTTATAACAATGATGGAAAATTGTATAAAACCAAGATCAAGATGTTTAGTGTTAAATCTAAAACAAATCAATACTCCGAACAAATTCCAGCTTTATAAATTTCATAAATGATAATTGAAATAAAATATTTAATAAAATTATACCATTTGTTAACAAAGTACAAAAGGTAAAATTTTTAAAGGACAATGTCTGCAGTCATAGCACCAAAAAGCGTTGGGAGTATTCCTGTCTACCAGACATAATTCAAAAACAATGCAAATACTTGAATGAGATTGGCAATGGAGGAGGATGATGAGTGTTCAGTTGTTATTGAACTATTTATGTTAGGGTTTATGGTTGATGTTACTTTGTAATAATTATCTAAAGGTAGGTTGGGTGTCTAACAAGGGTAGATATTAGGGCTGGTTCTTTACAACAAAACTTCTACTATGATGTTACTTTCAAAAGCTTGACCTCTTTAGGGGTGCCTAACACCCAACCCCAATTGATCTTCTGTGACAGCTGTATTGTTATTCATTTCCTTTTTTTTTGGGGGGGGGTGCTTTGACTGCAGATATTATACTTTATCTTGGCAAATTCAGGGTGTGAAATGTTTATTCTAAATACCTAGCTGTAAGAGGGAAACTCAAAGTGTAACGTGTTTATACTAAATGGCTAGCTGTAAGAGGGGAACTCAAAGTGTAACGTGTTTATACTAAATGGCTAGCTGTAAGAGGGGAACTCAAAGTGTAACGTGTTTATACTAAATGGCTAGCTGTAAGAGGGGAACTCAAAGTGTAACGTGTTTATTCTAAATACCTAGCTGTAAGAGGGTAACTTAAAGTGTAACATGTTTATTCCAAATACCTTTATGGACAATCTTTGTGGGTCACATTAAAATATAAACTTAAAAGTTTAGTTGTTGAAATTATAAAACTGTCTTTTGTTTAATCTTTTAAGTGTACATATGAAGACCGTTTGATTTTTACATTGTAAATGTCAAGAATTTGAAAAAATGCTACATATACTATGACATGTTTGTTTTGTTATGTATATAGATAACTGGACTAAATGTTTAGTTGATCATTAGTAGCTATATAAAATAAGGTGTTGTGTATAAAATGTGTTTTGAGTGACCTATCAGTTTTTGTCATTCCTAATATACCAATATGATTTTTTTACAGGACCTCCAAACAGATTTACTAGAAGAAAGTCAGGTAGGATGAAAATACATTTAGTGGCTCTTGTTGTAAAAATAACTGAAATACTTTTGATTCGGTACATCTGTACCTTATAATCAATTTTTCTGAACTGTTAAATAATCAGTCATTTTATCCCACATCTTAATGTGGAGTTGTGTATATTATTGTGCTGTTTAATCCTTGTATGTATGTGGTAAAGCTCTGGATTTTGTAGCAGCCAAGCCAGGTTTGAGTCTGTACTATACCACAAAATATTCCATGCACTTTTTCATGGGTGCATTATAAGACTGTTAATCCCTTAGCATGGGTGCTAAGGTGTTGTTGACTGGCTGTCTTTAGGGGTTAAATTAGGGTGGAAAATCCCAATTTAACCACTGGCTGCTTTCCCTCTGGTTAATATTTTAAAATTAGGAATGGTGGAAAATAACCTCAGTAACTTTGCCATAAGTATGAAATACTAAACACCTATGACAAATTTTATTTGACACTGATTATAAACTTTGAATTCGGATTTTAAAAACTAATAATGTTCACTATTAAAATGTAGCTTATTACTATTGACTCGAAACTAACCTTATGTACAGAAATTTATTGACAAGTTAAAATTAATGGCTAGTGTTTAGTTAATACAGTATTTTAAGGTTTTTCTACACAAATGAACAAATTTTTAGCCATCATTCATAATGAAGTGCATTAATACGTACATTTGTGTTGTCAATATCATTTTTTTTTCATTGCAAGTTTCATTTTACATTTCTATGAACATAATATACATTCTTACAAAATTCTCATGATTTTATTTCAATCAGCATGCTTGTCTTTACTACATAATGTAAAATTTAGGTTTAATTTTACCAATGCAGTATTCCTCTAATTTTCTAACCTTTCTAGTTTTTGCTGAACACTATGATCCAGAAGAAGATGAAGATGATGATAATGATAAGGTAAGTGAATTAGGTAAATACTTATTACTGTTAATCATGTAATATAAATGATTGATAAATTATTAAGTATTGTTTTAAACTATATTTTCAATTCTTTAACTTGGATGTTAGCTAGAGGGAGCTGCTAATGATAATGTAATGATCAAAAGACTTTGCAAGATGTTGAGAAACGAGGATAAGGTTATAAATATGACTCGGCAGTTAGTCAGAGTTACAGTGCCAGTCATTCAGTGAAATGTTAATTTGAGTAGTGATTGAGAATTCAGAAAGTCGATGGATTATTTATTGAAAAGTCACTGAGTAATTGTTGATCAAATAAAGTTCATCAGTAAGTTAGGCTTGTTATTGATGGAATACATTTCTGTTACACATTATTAGTTTATTAGGCCTACAGTAGTTTTAGAGTTTATATTAAAAAGTTTATTTGTGAACTTAGGTCTATATCTTGTGTCAAGGTGAATGTAGCCTGTAGTAAATGCTATTCAAAAAATGAATTAATTTGTTTTGATACATGGACTGGACTTTACATTTGTTCCTCAAAGAATTTAAAAGAACCCACCCAATGAAAGAACATGTTAAAATGGTACTTTTTCTTATGATTGAATAATAGAAGTGATAAAAATATCTGGTAGTTCTTCATCTGCTTGCTTATTTGCTAAAAGTGTATGATTTTCATACTAAAATAACATTTTAAAATCTTCGAGCTTATAACACAGGTTAAAACTTAATCATTTATATTGATTATCTAAGTTGTAAATTAATCATTTCTTTTAGTAAATATTTATCATATTTACATGTCCACCTCCCCAATTATATTTTTCTTATCTTTTTTTTATTAATTATGTTCAGTGCAGAAATGTATTTGTTAGTATAACATCACTCAAAACGTTCATTCCATTTGCTGTTTTTTTGTTCATAAATTTAAAACAATGCTTATTTGTTGTATATAATTTGTTATTTTATTTTGCATTTCATGAGGCTAGTCTGCTGTGACCTTCTCAGGTTTATCATATTAGTCTGATGTTAGATAGCTATCAAAGACACCATTGTTCAGAACTGGTTTCTTATTAAACATTGGTGCCTTGAAAGCTAACCTGTACTTAAGTTTCATTGAAGTGTATGCTTCCCTTACAAATTTATACTTATGGTTACTTATTTCCTCATGCTAAACATTGTTTTGGAAAGCAACTAATGGTACTTAAATATAAAAACTTTTACATGTTTGTTGTCAGATTTTACTTAAGTTCTAAGCTGAAACAAAATGATCTAAAATTTGATAATGTTTATTTACTTTATAATTGCAGGTTGTTTATCCTAAGTCTGATGAACAAAGGCAACAGCTGGCAGAATCAGTTAGAAATATTCTTTTATTTCGATCTCTTGACCAGGTAGCTAGAGATAACCCTTAGTTTTTTTTCCTTGAACTAAACTATATACTTTCATTGAAAATTTTTAGTATAAGAGTGAAATTTAATTTGGATATAAAATTATCAGACAGAGTTTGTTTTTATGGATCCATTTCTTTAAATATTTGTTGTTTATAAATTTTAATCATTTAATCATAAAAATTTGCATCATTTGAATAACTCCAGCAGCTTCTTTCTTCTGCATAGATTGGATGAGTGTTTGAGATTATTATCTTATTGGTAGTAGAATCCTTTACCAATAATATGCAAACCACTGGGTATACCATGACGGATCAGTATCTGATGATACTTGTGCTGGTCCATTACTCTATCTGTTTTGTAAATATCTCCTATTACATCAGCAGACAAACACTCTCAAACCATCACATTGCTTCCCCCATGCTCTATGGTAGGTACTATGCATTGAGGTAAGTATCTTTTGCTGGATGTACAACCTACACTTTGAACCAAATGTTTCAAACTTTGACTCATCCATCCATAACACCCTTTTCCAATCATCAACAGTCCACTTTTTGTATTTTTAGCAAATTTCAGTATCTTGACAATATTTGGAGATCGAACTAAAGGTATTTTAACTGCTACACAACCAAATATTCCATTCTCAATGAGTTTTCTTAATACTGTAGATCTGGACACTTTTCTGTCATTTGGTACATGGTTGTTTATCTCATGCTTGAGATTAGTGCCAGTCTTCCTTCTATCCCAAAGGCTGCATAAACTAAGGTACTTAACATCAGTACCATTGGGTTTAGGTGTTCTGCCTCTTCCTTTCCTATTTTAAAATTTACCTGTCTCAGTCTTACGATCTAGTGTGTACTTGATAGTGTTTGAGGATCATTTCAAGCCTGCAGCAACTTGTTGGATAGTCCAATTAGCATTAGATTTTATGCAAACTCTGCTCTACTTATAATACTCTATGCTTTTGGGGCTATGGCATGACAACAAAACTTAATATATAGTGTTAAACACTGTTTTTATCAAGATATATTTTGGAGTGCTATTAAATTGATTTCTTCTAGCATATACCGGAACCATATGCTAGCTCCCTTCTATATAGTTAAGACACTGCATGGGGTACCATGACAGTTATTTCAAACCCTTATGACATTCCCTTGGTACAAGTATATGGGAATTATAAAGAATGATAAGTATTCTCACCCTGGCTCATTCAGTTGTAAACAGGGATTAGTGAAGCATCATCACAATGTTGAAATTTACATTCCGTAATGGCATTGAAGAATTAGCCCCATAAGATGGAAAGAATGACAAAATATTATCTTGTCCTAACCCTTGTGCACAGAACTGTATGCTTAATGAATGAATAAAGAAATAATTATGTTTCTCATTTTATACTAAAAGAAACAAACAATAAAGATTAAAAATAGTCAGTTTTTTTGTTTCTACAAATATATTTACATGAAGCATTTAAAGAATCAGTATTCAATAAATGTTTTCTAAATGTAATTCAATGAGATGAAGAAAGTCTTGTAAAATTTTGGCTCAAGGTGTTTAACTGAATAATGTTATTTGTAAGTTTCAACTATTTGTAAAAATATTAACATAAACTTTTGAAAAACTTCTAACTAATGTATATTGAAAATAATATGAAAAAAACATTGTTACCAAGAGCAATATTTATGTAAAATTATAAATTTAGTAGATAAAATATTTCTCTTATATTATAAGTAATTTGCTTTTGAGATATTATAAATCAAAATATAATGTAATTACACATTCTGGTGCCCAACTTCTATGAAACATTTATGTAAGTTGCCAGAGATACAACAAAGTACAAGAAAATGAGTTTTTTCTTAGCTTTAAACTGATATATGCATAAGAATTTTAGATAATTCAAAGGTAACAAAAAGATTTTTTCTATTAGAGTTGAAAACTGTTGTTAATAAATAAATTCACCACAGTTAAATTGAGTAAAATACCATATAACTACAATCTTCAGTGTGTAGGTGAAGAGCAAGAACTTGCAATTTTGTTATGAGAGAGGTAGTAAAGCATACTTAAAATATTAAGTTTAGTTATTGTTTTGTAATAAACTGGCAACAGGCGAGTGACTTTTATCCCAAAGTATGTTCATAATTTGTGAGTGACTTTTATCCCAAAGTATATTTATATGGAAAATGATTGTTTAAATATTGTAAAACTTTTAAGCTTACTGATGTAGTGGAATAATTATTTTATTTTGTTTGTTAGGAACAAGTTCAGGAAGTATTGGATGCCATGTTTGAGAGAAAGGTATGAAAGTTATTTCTAACTATTTACTTGTGTGCATAGATTTTATGCTTTTCACATGTCTATTTACACACTTTCCAATCAAGTAGCTTCAAGTAGGGTTTTCATTCTATTTATTATTTCTTTTATTAATACTGTATATCTACCTTACATTTAAAGATAGTTTTTATTGTTTCTTTAATTCTAGTTTTTATCATTCTGAAGCTTGCATTTAGTTTGAGAGATTTCATGGTCTTCTTTTACTGTTGATGAAGTGGTTTTAAGAAAAAAAGAAAACTTTATTTTTAAATACTAAATTGAATTTTTTTCTTAAAGTAACATAGACAGTATCCTAAAATTATTTTGTTTTGTTTTTAATCTGTAATAAATGTTGTTTTTCATTTATTTGGGCTATTTTAGTTATATTTTATCATTTCTTGCTATGTTAATTGTAATAAATTTGGTGCTTCTTCAGTGCCACTTATTCTTAGCTTAAACAATCATATCGAATTACTTCTAGGTTCAGACGGGAGAAGTTGTTATTCATCAAGGAGATGATGGAGATAACTTTTATGTTATACAAAGGTTGGATTTGTTTTTATTTATATATATATAGTTGGCAATATTAATCATACAAATAATTACAAAGTTAAAAGTAATATAAATTCTCAAATCTTATTGTGCTTGTCTGAGAAAACATTAAAATTATTTGAGTAGATTATAACGATAAACCTAAGCAAGATCTTTTGTATGTTACAAAATTCTGCTACATGCCATCGGTTGATCGGTAAAACATCATCGTAAGTTGTGTGAAAATAAATTTGAATAGATTAATTAAAGAGAAGATTATAGTAGTATTTAAAAGTGAATAGGTATGTAGTGAAATATTTTGCTTTCTGTGAACTCAGTATCAAAAATATAGATATTAGGTCATCAAGAAATTAATGTCACATTTTGGAACAATTTCATTAACAAAAATGTACATCATGTATAATAGTTAAACAAACCGCCTAATCGTCACATTAATGTAGCCTATATAATGTTTAAAGTTTAGTATACTCTAATCCCCTATAGTGATGGCACACGATGAGACACTCATTCGGCATGTAATGCTGTTTGAATACAAGAAGGGAAATAACACCTCTGTTGCCACAAAGAATATCAAAGAACTTTATGGGAATGTTTT